TAAACACGTCTAATGTAATGACGATGAATAATTTCAATAAATGTCTCGCATCTAATGCCCTTAGACAAATTAAAAAAAAAAAAAAAAAAAATTGAAAAGAAAAATAAAATTGACTATAATTAAAACTAAATCAAATATACTATATAATCTATGTATTGAACGAAAGAACTCCTTGGTGGGCTTGTGGTCCCAACTCTCCGGCTCCTTGCGTGCTATAGATAATAAAGTACATATAATATTGTTTGTTGTTATGGTCGTTGATAGTGAATTATTTGTTATTGTTGTTATAATCATTGTTGTGATACAAAACCGGTTTGAGCTTGTTTGATTTTTGTTTTGATCATTAGATGAAATCTGATTGGATGATTGAAGAGTGTTGATCATCTGGAGGAGGTAAACTGATTTCAGTTTTTTGAGTAAGAAATTTTTGGCAAATGAAAGTGGTGCAGCAAATATTGCTACAAGAATATTGTGTATGAGGATTAACTTGAAACAAACAGTAGACCTACTAACTTTGTTTGAGTATGTATTTTGAAAAGTATTTGGCTTAGTGAGTATGATAGTAATGATGTGAATGATTTTTATGATAGAATAAGGGTAAGGAGGGATGCAAGAGAACTGAAGACAAGAGAACTGAAGAAAAGAGAACTGCACGGGCCTTTCCTCATGCAACTGAAGGATAAGCAAAACTTTCAAACTTGAATAGACTTCGACCAGAGGTCCCATCCTACTGCATCAGTTGTCTTGAAGATTCTTGAGTTCCTAAGCTGGGGCTTACTTGCGATAAAGAAAGTAAAACATTTTTTCTTGCTTAAAATTACTATAAAAGGAAATTTTTTAACAAAACGGATGTGATCAGGAGAGAGTTTTTTTTTTTTTATAAAAAAGTAATAAATTTAATTATTATTAATAAATATAATATATATATATATATAATTAAAAATACATTTTTTGAATATTGTACAGAAATAGATTTTTGATACCATTTTAGATAATAATTTTGTATTAAATTAACCAAAACTTTATCGGCTAATGGTTTAATTCCATCTAGCATCTGATTAATACATCTAATAAAATATATAATTAATAAATTATTAATATATAATAAAATATAAAATATACAAACAATAAATGATCTTGACAACTTTCAGTAGTTCCCAAATAATCTCCAGAATTATAAAGTATCATAGAATATAATCTATATGTTTCAAAATATTCACCTAATTTTTTATGAAATTCTTTTGATTGATGAGATCTATTATTTGAAGTTTGTAACCAGTATTATTGAATACAAAAATTTGCTATATCCAAAAATTTTTTTTGATTATTATCAAGATTAATTATTCATATCAAAGTTGTATTATCATGATCTATAAGATGATATGGACTATACATGTTTCCTTATTACTATAAAAGGAAATTTGATCGACAATACAATTCTGAATTAAATACGATTTCCAATTACTTACTAATTGTTACTTAGTAATATAAACATAATACGATTTTTGAAAATGTCTGAATTAAATACGAACACATGTATAATATGGACTATACATGTTACTGAAATTCGTAGATTCTTGACGCAATTGACACAATTATTTGACGCAATTAATTGAGTCACTATTAAAATATATAAATAATTGTGTCATGGCTCAATTATTTTTAAGGATTTTGGAAATTGAGTCAACAGCAAAATAATTTATACCACATGTATAATATGGACTATACATATGTTCGTATTTAATTCAGATATTTTTTAAAAACTGTATTATGTTTGTATTACTAAGTAACAATTAGTAAGTAATTGGGAATTGTATTTAATTCAGAATCATATTGTCGATCAAATTTTCTTTTATAGTAATAAGGAAACATGTATAATCTGGATATCATTTAGGATAGTGTTAATGAAGTATTTGACAAGTTGAAAGAGTTCCTAAAAGTAGTTTAATTCTGAATGCTATTAGATTATTATAGCTGTTGTTGTGTTTTTTTTGATATTTTTATTAGATTGATTAATGACTTTTAATCTATGTGAAGTGTGATGTTATTTGAAGGTTTAGATAACAAACTTATAATTTCATTTATAACAATATATTGGTTTATATAAAATTATAAAATTTATAAAATTTATGATTGATTTGATATGTTATATAAGAGATGTTGTTACTTTTTTTCTTATATAAAATTTTTATATTTTTACAATTAATAAAGCAATAATATTTACTTACAAAAAAAAAATAAAAAAAATAATACTTATTTAAATATAATATAATATTTTCTATTTTTATTACTTTGAAAATTTTTTAAATTAAACTTATATATTATTTATTTTATAAACTAAAATTTATTACAAATGATTTTTTTACTATTTTTAATTAAATAAATATCCTTTATTGTTCCTTATTCGATTTCGGATAATTTCTCATTCTTTTCAAATTATATAGTACAATAAATGCTTAAGATTTATTACATATTACAGTAAATACATATGGTCAATAGCAGTCACCATTTCATTATGTATAATTTTCGGATTTTATTGTCCTTAATATATACAATATGTGTAAGAAAAGATACAGTGATGATAGTGATGATGTTTTTTAGGGGGTGGGGGAGCCATTTCAAGGAATTGTAACAAGATCGACTACTTTAATTTGCACATTCTTTCAAATATTACATCCATTTGCTACATCATGTTTGTCGTTTTAGAAATTAAAACTTTGGTCGATATTAATGTTCTGTGTTATTTATTGTTAAAGACACCGACACATTTCTAGCATATCCAAGAGAGCAACCACATTAAGATAAAAAAGATTTATTCTATAAATTTTTTTGTATTCGAGTGTATACGCTCTAACTTATATAATGCAATTATGTGAAAAATGATGATAAATTGTAAATAATATTTCATTCAAATATAGAAATTTTCTTTTGTATGTTTTTCTATCACAAGATATATGAATTATTATTTCCTGGTTACTCTGAAAACTTCATATTCTTCAACATCAAGAATGACATGCTCAATATCCTTAAAGATTGATTTTCTATAATGAAGCTGGCTACAATTACACTTACATTGTTTTGTAAATTCATAATAATCCAAGTATAAGTCAACTCTAAAACAAGGTCCATAGTCTCGATTGTTTCCGATTGGATTTGATACTATTGGTCGAGATATTATTGACATCGAGGGGTTCATGTAGTTCATATTGAATATGAAACTGTCTTTCGTCTGCCCATAAGTATTATCACTCTTCCAATCAAAAGGATTATAACCGCCCAAAAGTTCATTGGTTCCCTTGATCTTAATGATGGTCAACGTAGAGCCCTCATAATCACATTTTGAATGAAACATCTTGGGCGTAAATCCGTCCTTAGTGCCTCTCAATAATAAATCGAATTCATAAGGTGAGGTTGAGGTGGTGTACGTAGTATTATTATCGATCCAATTCGAGAAATGTGCTATATGTCTTAATCCAATTAACAAGGAATCGACCCCACGGTGCTTCATGTTTGAGCTCGTGGGTTTAAAGTTCGACAAAAAGTGATATTCTAAAATCTTTTCATATAAGTCTTGATCCAAGATCTTTCGAAATGGTTCCACCTTGAGTACAAAATCATCTGGACTGATGTGCTCAAATCTTATCAAAGGTATGCAGGGCTTCAGTATATTTCCTAATTCTTCAAAATCAGAAGAAGTCCAGTCCATGGTGGTCGAAGATAATGTCGGGATTTGAGCTACACCCCATCGTAATATGATATCCCAAACTTCTCCTTCTTCAATTGGAAGATCGTCGTGTTGAAGTAATGATACCAACGCCTCTTGTCCAAGAGAATTGAAATCTTCCGCTTTGAAAACGGTGTAAGGAAAGTATGTTATAGTCTCGGCACAGAATTTTTGTAACTTCTTAAATGACTCATGTTGTGATGATATCTTGTGAATTAAGCCGAAGTGTTTAAGTAGAGAGTTTTTCATGGTGTTAATTAGATATTCTTGTATACAATCAAATAGTTCTGATAGGCACAATTCATCGGCTGCAACTAAAATGTTTAGTATGAACATTAAATTTTGAGAGTTAAGTTGGAATACACCGCTGTAAATATATCTGTCGTGGGTAAATCGAACATGAATTAGTAAATTATATTTTAAAGAACAATTTGAATTCCCCATACCGTTTTCAGTATCTCAAATATAATAAAGCGTATAAATTATTTCCACTCACTTTATGATCACCTTGAATTCCTTTGGACGAATGTTAGGTTTTTCAAAGATTATCGTGTTTTCAACTTTTTTCACCCAATTATCTGATAATGCGGTTTTGAAGTACGATGACCTCGCCCTGAGAACTAGAGAATGCGCTCGAAATTCTTTGATATCATTCGATTCACCACCGACTCTAATGATAACGTCAGAGAAATTGCCATTCTCTAACAAGGATTCATAATCGCGAGAAAGATCTTTGAAGAATGGGGTGATCATGACTGGTTTTTTGGAATTATAAGGATTCCCCTGTGTGTCATAAATTTACCTTTTAAAAAGAAGTCTGAATCTTCGATTTTTTCAATAGGATAATGAAATAACATGCGTGTGTATGTACGTAGATAAATATGCAGTTGCTGCATTTATTAAAAAAGAAAAAGTCGGAATATGCCATACTTGGAATTTTGTATTGGGCCAATCGCGTGATTTCATCATTCCCACCAATCCCAGAAAGAATTCTGACTATTGTTTCTCGAGTCGAGATTGAACGGGCGTTACTTACGCCTTTTGATGATGATATTCGGAGACTCGAACCATAGTATTGGTTCGTTAAAAGCGAAAAAAAGATGTTACGCACATGAATTTTATCAATCAAAGGAAAGGACGATATGTAACCATCAGAATTTTTGGTTAGCGTAAGTATCACAAAAGGAATTGTGCAAACATTTCTATTAACAGAAAAATTTTCCGGGAACTTGAGAAAGAAGAAGAGTTTCATTTAAATCCACACAACCGGGAACATGTCACCCTTTAACTCTGTTGATAGGTTACTCATAACCGTAGCTTGTGGCGCAGATACAACTGAGTTATGATCGGTAATAAATTATAGTAAAGATACCCCATACTAAGCATAACTATACCAATGTTATTATAGTATGTCTATTTCACTGAAATTTTTTAAATATGTATTTGTTTTTTTTAATTCGCAATTTTATATTTACCTCAAAGCAAAAAAATTATAATTATAATGATTGATTAATTGATAAAATCAATTTTCTGTTATGATTGGTTGTTATAAAATAATGGAAATTTCTGATTTAAATTATATTAAATGATTACAAATACAAAATATAAATATATTTATATTTATATTTAATCCAGTTTATTTGTTAATATTACAAGATCTCTAAATATAATTTATAAAAATAAATAATTATTTACTTATTAAATAACAATAATAATAAAACTTGTAAATTATTTTTATTATTAAAAAAATATAATATAATAAATAAATAAATATATATACAGTATATATATATTAATCATATTAATCAAACTGTTATATATATAATATAGAATAAAAAAATTGATATTAAATTATTTTATTAAAATTATTATTATTTTTTTTGGGAGGGAGAGGTTTCTCCAGTAGGTAAACATCATTTCTTTATTTTGATTTGTATATAACAAGGTATATATTATTGAAGAAAACAATATCTCTTTTATTATTTTAGGAAAGTTAAATGCTAGCTTGCCTATATCAGAAAATTTTTTAGAGTTATTTATTGATAGTCAACCAATAATTGCTAATAATCGATTATAATTAATCGATTACTAGCGATTATTGATTGACTATCGATTAATATCAAAAAAAAAAAATTGTTTATAATCGATTAATATCAAAATTAATATAAATCATATTTTATTTGGTAAATAGATTTCGATTTTTAACAAAAAAGATTAAATATCATTAAAAAACAATATAATTAATTTCAATAGTAATCGATTTTATTTGATTCGATAGATTAAAATTAAAATATATAATTATTTACTAAATATTCATTTGTTTTATCAAATTTTGGAACTATATATATGCTTTTATCAATACTATCTATTGGTATACAACTATACTGTTCAAGTAATTCTAATTTTTGACATTTCTACAATTCTTAATTAAATGGATGCTTTAATAAAATGTGTTGAGTTAAAGCATAGGATTTGAAGAACCCTCAACTACAATGTTCACATAGCCAATGCATTTTTAATAGATCATTTTTAATCGAAAATATATTTCTTCTAAAATAGATCTAAGTATCAAAATTATGTTGACAATTATTATTATTATGTG